GGAATTCCTGACAGCAAGTCAAAGCTTTTTTTTTTTATTTATTTTTTTTTTTTTATTTTTCCTTTATTTTTTTTTTTTTCAGATTTCCAGCTTCTGTTGTTTATTGTCACGACCTCAGTGTTTCTTCAGCTAGGTGTTCTATTTAATTATGGTGTTTATAGTAAATATCAGCTCCCTTGGCTGTGTGCTCGGGCCTGTAGCATGCGGGAGTGCTTTGCTTGTAACTGCATCCCTTGTCTCAGTTCATTATCTGTTAATGGTACTCGACATGACAGGCTTGTTTTGATAAATGGAGGCTGCCAGGAAAGCTGGGCTGGATTTTGCAGGCGGTGGAATTGAGCTTTCTTTCCTTGTGTAACACCAGATAACTGTTGCACACTGGACCGAGCACAACCACGTGTTGTGTGAGGTCTGGGGGCGCTCGTTCCACTCAGGGGCTCATTTTCTCCGGTAGATTTGCCTGACCCACGTGGAGGTAGATTTTGCATAGTCTTGTTGGGCTTTGTGCACGTGTAACTCACATTTTCCCCCCCTTTTTCAGACATTCAGCTTCCAGAAGTGATATCAAAAGAAACTCTGTTGAAGTTTATAATGCTGTGACTAGCCAAGGTGTATTTCAGGACCAAGAAAAGGTCTTTTTTATAATCCATTTCCAAAAGGCAAGCTAGGAAGTCCCTGTTGCAAAATGGAGCTTGAGGCTGTACTCTGTGCATGTTTTTTTCTCTCAGTCTCTGAAATGGGGGCAGATCTCCATATCTCATAGGAAAGCCAATTAGTGAGAGTTGAGTTGTCTCTGATGTTGGTGATTGAGTGCTGTGGCTGTTCTGTTCATTCAAGGATCTCCAATGTGCTGTGTACAAGCAGATGGGACTTGAGATGATTTCACTGCCATCTCCCACGCCGCTGAATTCGGAAGTTGGTTTGTCTTGGATTTGCAAGACAGCGTCTGAGATTCAGGAATAGTCTCCAGCTCTGTTGCTGTGCTCAGCCTGCTGGATGCTGTACCCTGCACTGCTTGAACAACTTTCATCCTGCTGGGATACAAATAATTCTATGCATTTTTAAATTATTGTTATTATTATTTGAGTGCTTTTTTCCAATATATACCGACTTTAAGGATTTGTGGTCCAAGCTGGCTGGGTCATCTGCCCTCAAGGGATAAGGTGGTTTTGAACAAGTCCCATCAAGCAGGGTATTTTTCAAATGACGGAACCTGGCCTGGATTAACTTACTGCTGGAAAGCTCTTTGGGAAGTCATCAGGAGTAAACACTGATTTAAATACACACTGGAGCAGCAAGTTCCCTTCTACGATTTGCCAGGTGTTGGGCCACATTTGATTAGAAAATTGAAGAGTGAGGATAAATGCAGTGTGGTTTCTTTGTGCTGACTTGAGGATTGGATTTCAGCTCTGGCAGGTTTGGAGCTCTCACACGGCTACTTGGTTACAAAGCTCGTTTTGAACCAGGTCTGGCCAAGACAGGCTCCAGCTCAGGAGCTGTTGTACAATGAATATTGCAGGAGCAGAGCTCGTGCCGTACACCATCTCCAATTTGTATTGATCAGAGCAGTCCTGTGATGTGGCACAAGGGCATTAGAATTAATCAGCTCCTTCAGCTGGGCGTGCGGTTTTAGGGAGTTCTATTTCTAGAAAGTGCGGAATAAATGTCAAAGTTGGGTTTCTTTGTCTCCTGAAGGACTCCTGGGTTATGGTACGAAACATGGGAGAAATCTGTGTGGATAAGCAGAGGGGAAAATACACAACTACAAATAATTACCAGCATCTGGAAAGATTAAGTTGGCAGGCAGTACTTGAGGGTGTCGCTCTAATTAACTGGGTCTGTGAACCCTAATGATTATTATTATTTTTTTTTCTAAATTTTTATTTATAATTATTTTTTTTAACTTGGCCTTTGTAAAGCCAGCTCTGGGAAGGTGTACTCCCCTATTTATTTTATAGGTAAAATATTACTGCACGGCTAGGAAATGGATTTGCTCGGCAGGGATAAAGTGTACGTTGCCCTGAGGTAATGGATTACATAGATGACTTGTTCTGCATGTTATTCTGCAAGGGAAATAGCAAAGCTTTGCTCTAAAATTAAGTCGGTACTAGCAGCTGAAAGGTCATGGTTGTGGTGCTGGAGAACAGAGCGAGACATTGTGAGGCCGAGATGAGTTACAGGTCTGCGTGGAGACACGCAGTAAGATAAATATTCATTATTGAAACCCCCCCCCCCCCCAATTAAACACAATTAAAAGGAACGCGTTCTGCTGAGCTGATGAATTTCTGTCTCTAAGCGGGGAGGGGGGGGAAGGAAGAAGACATGGTAGGAAAGGATTTTAAACAAAATGGCTTACTAATTGAACGCGCTGCAACACAACCCCCCGCGCCAAGTGTCTCCTAGCGTGGCACTGGCCAGGCATCCCCCACCCACCCACCTACCTACCCACCTGGGAAGGTG